ACATTTTGAAAACGCAGTTTCAAAATTCTGGCAAGTACATGACACTTTATTTTTTTGTAAGACCTGCAGAAACAAACCTCCTTCCATTTAAATAGCTTTAAATTAGGCGGAAACAAGAATGATTTTCCTGCGTTGTTTCAAGTTCTTTACTGCTCTAAACCATGTCCCTTCGCCCTCCCAGAAAATACTTCAGCTGAACAGGCAGTGATGGAGAGTCCTTAAAGACAATGTTCACAGTTTTGAAAGAGCACCAAACGGCAGCACTCAGAACGTTTTAGCAATGACTGATGAGATTTTTATGGTGCTTCGGAGAGAAAATATCTGAGTATTCATATGTAAATCTCAGATATTCACCAGAATGTTGCATTTTAAGTACTGCTATATTTTTCTTTGCAAGTGCATATGGACTAAGTAGCTGGAGGTAATGTTCCCTCTAGAGACTCTGAAATTTGTTTTAATATGAAACAAAAATGTCAGAGTACTAAAGCTCTCAGGCTTTTTTTTTTTTCCTTTACAAGGAAAGTTCTCAAAGGAACACAGATAGAAAAATTAATTCTAGAGGGATTAACAAAATCCAATTAACCTGGTAAAACCAATAAGTAAATTAGCAAATTTAGTAATCAGAGTGTTGTGGGTCTTTTGTTTGCTTAATTCGTGCATTAATAGCTTAACGTGGTAAATGTTTAACAAAGAAGAGCCCTCTTTGTCACTCACAAACATAGATAAGTTCATGCATTTAGAAGACTTTTATTTAAATTGAAGAGCCTCTGGAAGAAGTTCAGCATGCTTGCTCATGAATCAAATTCGTTAAACGTCACTTCATTTTGATATAGAAAGTCAGTGTTTTTGTATTTTAGCCCATTGTGTGTGTATATATGTGTGTACATAAGTAAATATAAATTACCTTTGTATTCATGTCTCTGTATGTGTATCTATATTTTTTTCATATGTATACCTATATGTATGAACACACACATATACTCATCAGATCTGATTCTTAAATTTCTGGCAGGTCAGATAAATTAGAATAATTCACTACTGAATGCAGGAAAATTGAAGTGTTCTCCATTTACTTTCCATCCAAGTGTAAGTTTCAAACTCTGGGCGAAGCTAAAACTCCTGATATTTTTTTATCCAAAGCTTTCAGGCCTCGCAGTGAATTTAAGGTGAAAACAACCTACTAAAAATCCCACAAACCTCTACTTTTGAAGCCATCACAATAAATAGGAACTATATAATAATTGTCCTGCATATGCCTCAAATCTGTATCTAAAGGAGTTACTGCAGGGCAGTAACTGTAGGCTGCAGTTGTTTTTTCCAGAATCTCTTCACTACTATGATGGGTCAAATGTCGCTGTTCCCATTGTAGAAAAAATCTGGCAGCTGGATCCTTGGTCCAGCCCCAAACCTCACCATGCCACTGAATCTTCAGTGTTAAGAAATAATAGCAATTACAAGAATAATGATGATGATAATAATAACCTAAAAAGTGGAATTACATGTCTTGAAAGTTTGCTTGTTAGTGTATTTGAGGAAATAAAAAATCCACTCTTCCCTTTGCTCACCCTGTATGTTTGTCGTGTTCCCAAAAATATTTTGGATGGATGCAAAAAATCCCCAGGAAACGGGTTCCTCCATTTTGGCAGCAGTTCTTGCTCAGAGGCTACAGCTAGAAATAAGCAGTAAATTTGCTGAGCAAATAAGGCACCTACTCTAGCTGCAGACAGAGAGGCCACCAATTTAATCTCGATGCTTTTATAATTTGTTTTGGTTGCCTATTGCAAAGATTCTACACAGTTATTCTGACTTGTTAGCACATGCAAAAGGTCAAAAACTAAATTAAGCAGCATTCTCATAACTTTTAATTAATCTTTCATTAACAGATACAATTGCCTTCAGGCTTTTGTTGTTCCTGTTTTTAATCAGAGAGTGAAGTTTGTAGAGGCACTCATTCAAGGATTTGACCTTTCATATGTTCTTTAAAAGTTACTTCCTTTGATCTAGTTTTCTGGCTACCAAGTCTGGGAAAGAAATGCAAACTCTGGTGTCTGAACAGATGGCTACAGCTCTCAATTAGATTCATTCTGGGAGAAATGGGTCTGGACTCTCAATAAAAAGGGAGCAAGTAGGAAAATGGCACCAAGAAGGAAACTCCCTTTACTAGCAATATTTTGGGAGATGGTTCCAGATAGGAAGAGAAACAAATGTCACGGGTATCTAGGGAACAGGCACTGCATGTATAGAATCATAGAATCACAGAATCAGCTGGGTTGGAAGGGACCTCCGTGATCATCAAGTCCAACCCTTGATCCAACCCCACCGTGGTTCCCAGCCCATGGCACTGATGCCACATCCAGTCTCATCTTAAACACCTCCAGGGATGGAGAATCCACCACTTCCCTGGGCAGCCCATTCCAATGGCTGAGCACCCTCTCTGGAAAGAAATTCTTCCTAATCTCCAACCTACCCCTCCCCTGGCACAGCTGAAGACCCAGCCCTCTTGTCTTGCTGATGGTTGCCTGGGAAAAGAGACCAACCCCCCCCTGGCTCCCCCCTCCTGTCAGGGAGTTGCAGAGAGTGAGGAGGTCTCCCCTGAGCCTCCTCTTCTCCAGGCTGAGCCCCCCCAGCTCCCTCAGCCTCTCCTCACAGCACTTGTGCTCCAGTCCCTTCCCCAGCCTCGTTGCTCTCCTCTGGCCCTGCTCCAGCCCCTCCATGTCCTTCCTGAGCTGAGGGCCCAGAGCTGGACACAGCACTCCAGGGGTGGCCTCACCAGCACTGAGTCCAGGGCAAGAATCACTTCCTTGGCCCTGTTGGCCACCCTGTTCCTGAGCCAGGCCAGGATCCATTGGCCTTCTTGGCCACCTGGGCACACTGCTGAAGCTGGTACACACATCTTACTTCACATCAGTTCTTTATACTCTCCATGGGAGCTGGGGGAAATGAGGGAACACAAAAGGGAATAGCTCTCTCTGAAGCAGGGCTTTCAGCACAGATCCTTTCATAGTCCTGTGGCAAGTAAAGTGCTCAGCCAGGATAATAGCACCCAGAGCAGGCTGAGGGAGACATGGCTGTTACTGCCGTTTTCCTTTTTTCCTCCTGAAACTTCGAATTAAAAATTTAGAATTTTAGAAATTCCTCTTTCCCCAAGTGAGGGAAAGAGGTGAATTTATAGATGGCAATAACCAGTGCTACTGGCACGTGTCCCAAGGCACCAGGCACTGACCAGGGGTGTTTTGAGACTGGCATTTTGGGCTCCATATATGAAACACAGGCAGCTGCTCTTTACACACCAGCTTCTTGAGTCTGAAGCTACCCTTGCATCTCGAAATCAGGACCACGAGGTGAAAAGGTACCACCTTCTGATCAGGTACCACCTATTGGCCATACAGTATAAAGTTCTTGCATCACTTGTGGAGAGGATTTGTCTCAAGCTTCTGAACTCACCCTCTACATTTGCTTCCTGTTTGTTTTTCTTTTTAATCATCAGCCCTTTCTAACTTTCCGCACCAATTTTCAAAAGTAATGAAACCGCGATGTGCCACTTCCCATTTTTTTCTGTAGGGCCAGCATACTCCAAGCAATCCAGTGGCTGTTTTAGCCGGCGTTTTCGACGATATCAGGAGCACAGCAGAGTGCCCTCGGTCCATGAAAGGCTTGCTGATGGACTTGCCGATGGCTCCTGCATCTAAAACACACATGAGCTTCTGTGTCACTTTCTAAAATTAAAGCTTTGATGCTCACTGCTTTAATAAGAAATAATTTTATGCTGTCAGGTTAGCTAAGTAGTGTAACACGTTAATCTTGTGTTTTAATTGTTCCTAAGAATGTCCCTATCGCTTTTTAATTTATATGTTTAAAAGGTGCTTCACAGATTCAAGGACTCCTCTCCCCGCTATTTGCTAAGGAAGCCGCACTCCGGTGTCAAGGTCCTTTGCCCGGAGGCTGCACATTTGCACTAATATGTAGGGCTTTTGTTTGTCTATTTGGTTTTGGCTAATGTACCTATCAGGATGTACCAACACCATCCTCTCATGCCTTCCTGCCCTTTCCCCCCTTTTCCTCTAGAAACACCTTCACAGTGGATGTGAAAAATCAATTTATATGCTCGTGTGATGAACAATTTACCAAGTGTTAACTCGATAAAAGGTAAGACGTCAGAAGGGTTCCTCTTTTTCCTCCTAGAACAGAGGTTATTAATTTCTTCAAGAGAAACATTTAAAGGCGTGCTCTGGTTTTCCTGGTTTGGGGGATTGTTGCAGTTTTCCCCTTTGCACCTTTTAAACATATAAATTAAAAAGGGATAGGGACGTTCTTGGGAACAATTAAAACACAAGATTAACATATGACACTATTTAGCTAACCTGACAGCACGAAATTATTTCTTATTAAAGAAATGAGCATCAAAGCTTTTATTTTAGAAAGTGATACAGAAGCTCATGGGTGTTTTAGATCTTATGTTAGCTGTTTTTCTTTCTGCTTCACAGTTTAATCACACAGATAATTTCAAAGCATTATTACACAGATTCAGGAGACGGAATGGTTAAAATAAAACACATAGGACTGTCTAAATTCTTAGTTTTTTTATTTGCAGGAAGAGTAACAAGGGATCAGGACATGCACTATGGATCCTGAACACCACAAGCAGATTCTGCTCACTCTGAAAACTCACTTGGATGTCCTACATCCTTCATCATGCAAGGGAGCGTGGAGCTCTGAAGAGGCCAAAGAGGGCAACACTGCTGAAAATCCTAATCCTACAAACATGAGAACAGTGTCACTCAAAAGAGTTTCATGCTTGAAGATATCTGAAAGTTGAGACTAGTTAATTTAATGCCAGTTATCTACAGAAGGGGATGAAACAGTCCTCAGTATTTTCTTTGCTTGATAGAGCTACTGCCCATTAAAAACAATAACAAACCCAACAAGAATAAAACCAACAAACAAAGAACCCCCCCAAAACAAGACAAGAAATAAAGGTTGTGTCTTACTAGTTTCAGACTGGTGCACTCCTAAAGGTGTTGGTGCACTTAAAAGAACTCTGCAATGCAAATGTGAATTATGAATTCACAAAAAACTTATTCAATCATGGCACGAAGTTAATGAAATTTGATTGAAACTATAGTTTTGGAACGTATGTGTGGAAGAGAAGTAAGCCACTGCCTGTGGACAACACAAGTATTTTGGGAAAAGTGATTTGCTTCCCTGTTTGTAAGTAACTACAAGAAAAAGAAGTGTGAAGGTACAACATACGAGAATTTACTAAAGAAAACTGACAGATTTTTTTTTTCTGTAAGGAGTATCAAACATTTTAAAACCTGCAATTTTGTTATTTTAGAAAAGTATTTTCTTACCCAAAAACCTTCATATGTTTTCTCTCTGCTCTGCCTGTTTTTCACTCCTTTCTTTGCACGTGAAATTCCTCTACTGTAACTTCACGCTGCCGGGTACACGAAAAAGAATTAGTTTGACAGGGAAGTTTTTGTGAAATATAGAAATGAAAGTGAAGTCATTTTTCTGCTTATCATCCAAGAAAAAAACCGGCGCATTTCACTCTCGGAACTTTAACACCGTACTCCCTGCAGCAAGTCATTTACAGATGATCAACACCTTTCTACCCTCGGCTCTCATTTCCCTTCTTGAACTCTCTTCATTAACCCAGCAATTTGCAATGGCATTGGGTGGTGGATTTATCACAGGACCTGCTCTAAATTGGTCTCTGGGGGCACCAGAGCCACAAGTAAATTGAATTTCCCATGTGAAAGCCACTTTTTCTTTTTTTTCTTTCTCCTTTTCTCTTGTCTTAAAACGTAGTATCATTGCCATGACTCAGGTCAGGTTAATGACATAAATATAGAGCCTGATGATCAACACACTATAATCTCTAGAATAAATCACGAACAGGTTTGAAAGGTAATATTTTATACTCGATTCTCCTCTGGAAATGTCTATTTCCTACGTGGTTTTTCGGTTTAGAGTACATTTTTTATGTTACATGCAATATTTTTAGGATTGGTTTATTTTTGCTTGAGAATATTGGGGTCTTAATATTACTGTTCTGGGAGGTGTGAAAAGGAATTTTGAGTCTAGTCTGTTGTGATCTAATCTTAACCAAAATGACATTATGTGCCAGAATTTACCCTGCTTTAGCTAAACAAATGTCACTAAGCCAGTGCAAGTGTGTGTGGAAACAACCACGATGAAAACTATTACCTTTCTGGATATTTACGTACCTCAAAGCTTATGCCTTTCATGTATCATCTGCAGTAATGCCAGATCTCCACCTTTTTGAAATAACTGGTTGACCTCATCATAGAACTTTCAGCTGACTAATGCCTGAGCCTTTTGTCTTAACTTTGTTTGCAATCTGATTCTTGATACTCTCTTTTTTTTTTTTCCTGGTTCACTTTTCCAAAAACTGTTCTGCACTTACAGAATATTTACTGAGTGAAGAATAGGATTGTTATGTGATCCCGTGGTACCAGGAGTACAGATTAACAGCAGATCGATTTACAAGAAAAAAAGGCCCATGGGCTTTTTGTACAGGAAACGGTTTTTGTAAAGTACATTAAGAAATGCCTTTTATTTGCTGGACTTTGGAAACTGACCAAAGCCAGCGTAACAGAGTCCTGTTGATTGATTGGCTTTGTCGTTTTGGAGTTCCATTTGGAAAAAACACCAGTTCAAGACACATAATGAGCAAGGAGTGTCTTTGCTCTACTGGACTGGTCTCCCAGAGCTATTCCTTGCCCCTCGAAGGGTTTACTCCCCAAAAACTGATGTTATCTCTTCCCACTCGATCTTCTGCACGCCCACATACAAAGGACTTTGAAACAATTACCACCTTTAACATCCTGGGACAATTTAAGGAGAATAAGACTTGCAAATTGAAGCACTGGTCATTTCTATCGGCTTTGATTTGGTTTAATGATTGCAAATAATAATTAGCAGTTGGTATTTGAACACGTTGTCATTGAAAGATACCCAGTGATTACAGCACATCCAGGTCATTTAGGTGAACAGTTTCACCCATTCCAAGGCAAATGAGCAGGATTTGTGGCTGAAATCTGGGGCCTTAAGCACGGCTTAAACTTTTGCATGCCTTGAATAATCCCGCTGGAAGTGATTCAGTGCAGTCTATCGCATTTATCTTGTGTGAATTACTGTTTCACCACTTCACCTCTCAAGATTAAAGTTCTGGCAGCACACGTGACAGATGAATAATTTCTAGATCTAAAATTTTCTTTTTTTATTCTTTACAGCATCTATTTTTAATATTTAATTAAAAATTAGGATAAATATGCAGTTGCTGCAGTGAGGCTTGAGTCGTCCAGGGTTACCACAGGAATACTAAGTGCAAAATGAGCTTGTGTGGTTACCAGCCATTACTAGGAAGTTCAAAGTCCTTGATACACTATTTGGATCAAAGCCTATTATTTTCTCTGTCATTTCTTTAAAGTTTGATTTTTCCTAAGGTTTATTAGTAAAAAATTCATATTGTCCAAGTATATTCCTAGAAAACTTCATGCAAGATCAAGTTGTTGAAGATTGTTTTGAAATACTAACCACTGTTTTAAAATTTCTTTTATAAATAAATGAAAAGTAAAATCTTGAAGACAAATTCGGGGGGGGGGGGTGTGTGTGTGTGTTTCTGCTTTTGTGTTAAAATAAAAATAATTTTTTCCTTTGAAATTAAATGCTCCCTCTTTTGATTTCTTTTTTATTTTCCTACAAGGTGAAATTGAAAGGCTATGCTTTTGAGTAGGTGCAGTAAAAGTTTATTTTTAAATAATGTGGGCGGGGTGTGTGTGTGCATAACGGTGAAGTGCCTGGAAACAACAGGGCAGTCAGCACAAAAACAGCTGGAGTTTGTAATTTTTGTGTCTTAACATTATCTTGCCCTTTGCCCAACTCTGTGAAATCAACGTGGTTTCTCAGGAGCACAGATTAAATTTCAATAACTTTAGAACAGAATAGTAAACACATTAATTTTTTTCCCCCAGTTATATTAATATAAATCACATATATAAATATATATATGCATATAAAATTTTTTTATATAAATATATGTTAATATATATTTATATATATAAATTTATAAAATATACAAATTTATAAAACATATATATAAGAATATATATTTTGCAGTCTCTCTCCGACTAGTGTGTTTGTATGCAGGGGTATGATGAAATCTAGTGTTCCTATAGTGATTGAAACCCCTCAGCTACATTCTAATCATAACAGCATAAGTAAGGTGAGTAAAGGGGGTAAATTGCACTTCTTCCAAAGATACAATTCAGAAAGTGCAGATGTTTCTCTACCTGCATGTTGTTTCATATCTTTGTGCTTTGGTTCCCCTTTTGTGAAACAGAGATGAAGGTATTACCTTGCAACAGAGAAATGTTATGGGCCCATATTAATTCATAAACATGATGAGTCACATAAAAGTGTTCATGAACTTATTGCTGAGACAGTAGTGTTATAAATGGCTTCAGGATAATGGGCCTGCTCTCTAATGGATGAAACCATTTTCAAAGCAGTTGCTGGGATTATGTTTTTCATCTTTTTGATACACACATTATAGCAGAAAATGCATCTGTCTGGGTCTTGTGAAGATCACGGATAATGCTCTTCTCCATAAACTCGTGGGAATTTTACCTGGGTCACTGTTATCAAATATCAGTTCGTATCCCACATTTGGCTAGAGATAATTTACAGACCTCCAGGCACATTTTGTGCAGCCCAGTGGCACCATTACCGACTCGTTCCTGTGTGTGTTTTTTGAAGGAAATGAAGGCTCCCAGGATGCTTGAGACATTCAGGCTTCAAGGGCAGAAGACAAAAATTTAAAGGGCTGGACATGTCTAAATGAAGGTTTTTTGTGCTAGGTAAGTTCATGGTCAAGGTAAGCAAAAGAGAACAACAGCAACAAAAAAATCAGATATTAAGGTTAAAATTGACAGGTAAAATTGTAATTGGAAGTTATGTTAATACATAAAATATATCCTTATGATTCTTCCCGTTGTCAAACTTCTTTAGAGAACTGGGAAAATCTCCCTTCAATGGGGTTAATTAAGGAGAGATTCTCTATGTGCATACTTAGGAATCTCATTGGGGTTTTTTTTCAGGTTTGGTTTATACTGCAAATGTCTGTTGACACTGCTCAGCCAGTGTGATTCTTTGATCCAAGGGGACTTTGTGATTAGAAAAAACAACGCATCCAAGGAAAGGAGGTGGTATATTCAAATCTGTACAAGGCCCTACTTTGCAAAACTGAATGTGGGTGCTAGTATACTGTTTTCTTCTTGAAGTATGTCTGTTACAAATCCAGGTAACCCCCATGTGATTCCTTGAGGTGTACCACACTGTCATAGTAGGTGTGCCTCAGTTTGTTACTGGCATTGTCCATTTAAACAAATATAAATTAAATCTTACTGGTTGGTGCTCAGAAAAATCCATTTTTCAGCCAAGTTCAAAATGAGGATATAATGCCTTGTTTTTCAAGGGCTGCCCATTTCAAGGAGAGGTCATGCATGGGACCAACACAAATAAAATGATAGTTAATTTCTCATTAGAGATGTCAAATGGACAATAGCTTTAGGCCTCAATTATGTTCTGCAGAAGCAGATGAGAGTAGAGAAGAGCAATTGGTTAAGTTTGTTTCCTACCCAGCCATGTTTTATCGCAGAAATGTCAATGAATTCCTCTTTTTAAAGTCCTTTGGGACTTCCTGCTTGCTCCTGCTGTTTCTGAAACAAATAGTTTGGTATTTCAAAGTATAGATATAAGGACTCTCTTTTGAGTTGTTTTAACGCAGATTTTTTTTCTGTGCTCTGTGCTACACTTTGACCTCACAAATGCTTACACTGGTGATCTGAAAAGGTTCAGACACTGCCCCACACTCTATGGCTCTACACCATGAGTGACCCCTCCCGATGATTCTGCACACAGCCTTTGTCACCCTGAGCTGTGTCTTCTCTCACAAATAAACAGGTAGCCCAAAAGAATGCAGGAGAGTACCCACATGTCCAATATAAGTCACTGTTGCCTTCACCTCTTGTGTGTGAGGCTGACAGGGAAATGCTTAAATATCTCTCTGCAGGGTTGTGGGACGCGACACACCGGCCACACACAAATGTCTTAGGCACGGTCTGAAAGAATCATAGAATCATAGAATCATAGAATCATAGAATCAGCTGGGTTGGAAGGGACCTCCGAGATTGTCAAGTCCAACCCTTGATCCAATCCCGACGTGGTTCCCAGCCCATGGCACTGATGCCACATCCAGTCTCACCTTAAACACCTCCAGGGATGGAGAATCCACCACTTCCCTGGGCAGCCCATTCCAATGGCTGAGCACCCTCTCTGGAAAGAAATTCTTCCTAATCTCCAACCTACCCCTCCCCTGGCACAGCTGAAGACCCAGCCCTCTTGTCTTGCTGAGAGTTGCCTGGGAAAAGAGACCAACCCCCCCCTGGCTCCCCCCTCCTGTCAGGGAGTTGCAGAGAGTGAGGAGGTCTCCCCTGAGCCTCCTCTTCTCCAGGCTGAGCCCCCCCAGCTCCCTCAGCCTCTCCTCCCAGCACTTGTGCTCCAGTCCCTTCCCCAGCCTCGTTGCTCTCCTCTGGCCCTGCTCCAGCCCCTCCATGTCCTTCCTGAGCTGAGGGCCCAGAGCTGGACACAGCACTCCAGGGGTGGCCTCACCAGCGCTGAGTCCAGGGCAAGAATCACTTCCTTGGCCCTGTTGGCCACCCTGTTCCTGAGCCAGGCCAGGATCCATTGGCCCTCTTGTCCCCCTGGGCACACTCTGGCTCCTGTTCAGCTCCCTGTCCATCCCCACTCCCAGCTCCCTTCCTGCCTGGCTGCTCTCCAGCCCCTCTGTCCCAGCCCGTGGGGCTGCCGGGGGTTGTTGTGGCCAAAGGGCAGGACCCGGCCCTTGGCCTGGTTGAACCTCATCCCCTTGGAATCAGCCCAACTCTCCAGCCTGTCCAGGTCCCTCTGCAGAGCCCTCCTGCCCTCCAGCTGATCCACACTCCCCCCCAGCTTGGTGTCATCTGCAAATTTGCTGATGGTGGACTCAATCCCCTCATCTAAATCATCAATAAAGATATTAAACAGGACTGGGCCCAACGCTGATCCCTGGGGACACCACTGGTGACCGGATCCCAACTGGATGCAGCTCCATCCCCACCACTCTCTCTGGGCCTGGCCTCCAGCCTTCCAGTCCAGAAGACAGTGTAGAGGAGATCTCACTAACAGCCCGTGTGAAAATGCTACAGTGGGAACTTTTTCCTCCAGGTGCTTTGTGCAGTGTCACAGCACATCCGCAATCGAGGTCTGCAGGTTCTTCCTTCAGGGGTTAATTATACACTGCTACAAGAGGCAGAGGTAAGAACGTTTGTCTGAATTCTCACAGTACAAACCTCAATGACAAACACAGTCTCTGCATCGTTGTCTTGAAGTTTTATACCTATTTCCCTGATATATTAACTTGACCTTGTTTATACTTATGGCTTTCTTCTGTTTTTTTTTCTCATCTTGCCTGTTCTGATGCCTCCAGTCTGTGCACTTCATCCCTGACCACATGTGTTCAGGAAATGTGTACTAGCAGGTCTGACAATGAAATATATCTCTTGGTATTGCATTTAGAGAATAAGCATAGAGCGACCTCTTAAATGTTAACAGTATATTTGAAAAGTACTTAAATATCACTAACATAGAGAATCTTTACAGCAGTTAAGATCCCATGAGAAGATTTCTGAAGTCCTTATTGAAATTTTCAACTTTGAACAATAATCAAGAATTCTGCTTATTATTCTGCTTATTAATACTAATAATTGTTGCCTATATTTCCACAACTGTGAAAAGAAAAACATTTTCTTTGGGACTGGTCATGCAGCCACTATTTCTTTTGTTCTTCTTACCCGTATTGAGGGCATGTGATCCTGCTCTGTGCCAGTCTTACCCATCTTCAGGAGTTTTCAATGTTTGGACAGGGTGCCTTTAAATTTGTCTCTTTCTATATTACAATTTTCCAACATTGTCCATAAAGACTTTGTGTCTCCACATACTCCCACACTACTCTCATGCCCTCTCCAGCACATGCAAAGACAACATCTCTGCCAAATGAGGAAAACTTTCCTCCAACTGGCTGCAAAATAGACCTCACATTAATAAAGAAATCAGGAGCTCAATCTCTCTCCCTGCTACCCCCACCTTACAGCAATTATTATGTCTTAACACCATCAGGACATGACAAGGGGCTGAGTTCTCCGAAGTGCAGCTGCAGCCGGTTTGTGCTACTTTGATTCACAGGCAGAGGGTTGTCCTTGTCTCTGTTTCATTCAAGGAGAGATTTCATGATTAGTGTTCTGCTGCTTCATCCCCAGTTCTAGTTTCATCCTAGTGTTCTGAGACTGGTATGATTTTCCATTTGGCCTTTCTAACCTAGAACTTCTATTTCTGCAGATGTTTCAGTTCTTCATCACTGAGTCTTTCCTGTAAACAGTTTCCAAGTGACAACATCCTCACATATCACTTCCCAAGTCAGACAGGTCCAGACATATAGTTTGCCAAACCAAACACTAAGTTTAAATCCCCTGTTCCTCTTTTTCTTCTATTTATTGAGTCAGAGTAGCATCTGCATCCCTATGAAACAGCAGAGTCAAAGCCAGCCACCTGCATTACTGCAAATACATTTACCATCTGCTTCTTATTAAGAACTGTCAAATTCACATCATCCAGATCTGTGTCTTCGCCACCAGAGAAGCTGTTCAGAAATGACACTGAAAAAATAATGAATCCCAAGAAGGCCATCAGAGGAATGTGTTAGTTTTACTTCTCCCATAATTTTTATAGTTTTTTGTAGATGTGCTACAGCTGAGAGGAGAAAAATGACAAGTGATGGCTTTCCCATCCTGAGACTTCTGCCCATAGTCCAAACCAGTTTATATGAACACAGGTAGAACGACAAAGAGGCAAAGGATTTCCTAGGAAAATTATGTGTGGTAAGATAAGTTGTGGTGGGTGCTGCTACGCTTAACCGTTCTGTTACCTTCTGCAAGTGAGAAAAGTAGATTTATGTAATATTGCCATGAAGCCATGGACTTAATGACACTGTCTTGGTATCAAACAGATCAGTAAACCATCATCCTACAGCCACACAGTAGAAACATTCAGAAGTGTGAAGGAGAGAGGACCCTGATAAACCACCAAAGAACCAAAGCAGGATCAGCTTGACCTTGATGAGGAGTTCAGCTAATTTTCCTCTCAAATTCAGAAGGTTGCAGTTCAAAGACTTGTTGGAAGATGGGAGTATGTCCATAACCCCCGATGAAGATCAGAAGAGAGGGACTGTAATTTGGTGAGCACAGCCAGGTAGTGCTAAAACTGAACTGGGGAGATTCTTTGAAGTCCAGAAAGGAGATAACTGTGCAGAGACTTGCAGAAAGAGTAACATTCATTACCTTCCACTGAAATGGTTTAACGGGCCCAGTGACTCAAATGCATGAATAAGCCACAATCACTTTTCTCTGTCTTGCTTCTGCATTGATTGGGATCATGTTCGTTTTAAGCCGTTCCTCTTCATCCAACATCAAAAAGTGAGTGGAGATGAAGCAGGTCCTCTCTCAGAGGAGAAACTGCATCCCTATGGGGTGGTGCACCCCAGGGGTTGGTGTAGTTTGGAACTAGGAAGCTTCTAGTCATTCATTTGTGGTGTTCTTCACTAATTGCCTCTTAAAGTGAGTTTGAGTCATGTTTAACATGGCAATTAATGGGGATTAGAGTCTTCTAAGGAGGTAGATTGTGTCAGAACATTCTGTTGTGTCACCATCCTTATTACTGAACTATCATGGGGATAGTACATTGTACATTCCCTGTTTGACTAAAAGCTGCTGTTTACCAAGTAATGAAAATAAACTGACAGGTAATCTGACAGCTTTTGGGCTGTTGTGTTATTTGATGAGGGCCAAATAAGGCTGCCTGGGGCTTTTGGTACCATTTCTGTCTGCAAACACGTGCATATGGAGCTCTGGTGAGCACTGAGGAACCATTTGTAGAGCTCCTCTTTTGATTGGAACTGATTCAGTTCATGGGACCATTCCACAACCCACAGAGTCCCACTGCTCCTGCCTTGGACACAGCTGATCCTCAATTTTGAAGCCATTCTCTGTGGGTAAAAAGGCTGCCTCAGGATTTTGCCTGCAGTGTAATGTTGCCTATTAATAATATGAGAATTATCTGGGCTGATTTCAGTTTGCTGTTCTTTTTCAGTGGACTATCCCTACCTTTGCTTTAGAACATGACCTGATTCATGAAACATATTCTGACGATAGGATTTAATCTAGGTAAATCAAGTCAAACAGAGAAAAACTGCATTTTTATTCCAGTTGGTTTCTGCTCTAAACTTTCTAATTACATTAACCTTAAGCATCATATGAAGTTTCATTCACAGCACTTGGACATTAAATGAACCATTAGTTAGCGTGGGATTATGTCGCTGTTGGAACGGACTGCGACACGAAAAAAAAGGTTCAGCAAACTTTATTCCCAGGAAAAAGCAGAACCTGGGGCTACTTTTGCAGCCCCTTAAGTACAGATTTTGGACACACGTATTTCACACGGATAGGTTAGTTCAAACTCACACACTAGAATTCTTACAGCTAATAGGTGGATTCTCTAAACTCTACTTTCTCATAACAACCCTGTTCTTTCCCACAACAGTCCTGCACACCTGCTCTTATTTTTCTCTCATGTTGATGTTTTTCCCAACCACTCTCGTTCAAAACAGGTCCTTGTTCTCATGAGACAGCGCTCCTGTTCTCATGAGACAGTGTTCTCTGTTCCCACAGGACAGCTTCTTCAGGATGCATCAGTATGTTGTCGGGATCAGGGCCTCCATTTTCAGTCCTCTCTTTCAGTCCATCTCAGGGGTATACTTTGATCTGGTCAACATCTATTGCTTCGTCAGTAAGTGCTAAGGTGCTGACAGACCCGCTGTCAACCCCGACAGGATTAGAGCAACATCAAAGCCCTCATAGATTTTCAGCATTATGCAAAATCTCTCATTTTCCTTTTGACTTAGAGCACCATGAAGATGATAGGTTGTGTATACTAATTATA